TCATTGTTAATCATTGTTTAGATGTTTCCGTTCCAAAAAAAGCTGCAGTAATGTATATTTGTCGCGCCGAAAAATTCATGCGAAGACTTCTAAACGAAGTTCCTACCTTTTCTGCTGAATTAATCACATCCGAGGCACGTGATTGGTATAAACGTTGCCTCGGAATTGTATCTGACTTTTATGATCCACCACGTCGCCCTTGTTCATGGGCTGCATTTACGACCAATTGTTATTATTATGAAGTTCATACCAATATTCTGGAAAGACCAGATATTGAATATACAATTCAAAAAATTTATGAATGTGAATTAATTCGCATAACTCGATTAGAAGCTGCCGATAATGCTGCAAAAGAAGCTCGATTAAGTCCTAGCTTTTGGAACAAGGCAATGGTAAAACGACCAATGGATGGTGTTTCATTTGCAACAAGAGTTAGATGGATTGCTTCGAATGGTTGGTTTTCTCTAAATCAATTAGCTCAATCTTGGGTATACGATGAAGGTCAAGCTCCGTTAAGTCAACTTGAACCATATATTAAAGAAAAAGTCAAACAAATGGAAAGGGAAAAGCGTAAAGAAGATATCACGTCAAGGTAAAAAAATGAATGATCTTGTTTTTATTTTTTATTTTTATTTACTTTTAATGGTTTTTTTTTTCATTGTAATAAATTATTGATAAATTATATTTGCTATCCCTGTAATTTAATAAATATAATAGGATCAAGGATCATCCTGAGTATCAAATGATATTCAAGGAGGTTGATGAAGATCCTGAATTCTTTTTACGTGCCACTTATGAAATTAACACTATTTATAAGGTAAATTATATTAAATTAATTATTAAATTATTGTAAATTTATTCTTATTTACAAATTTGATTAATAATTATTTAATAACAGGTGTCTAATCTATATAAAGCTCATGTTGAAGATGTTAAACCAGGAATTGATCCCAATAAAGTTGTAAGACAGGTTATTGATCTCATAAGAGATGTTAAAACCGGTGTTATCAGCAAAAGTAGCCTGTTTGTTGCAGATCGTGAGAGATTTGCTGAAGAAGAAGATGACGATGATGATAACGCAGGCGGTGTAATCAATGTCGGTGGTGCGGTTAACAATGG